CAACAAACTTGAACTGTTCACTCCGTTACACTCCGCGCAGTATTTATTCGCATAAATCGTCTTTCTTTCGTTCGCTAGTAAATACACATACGACGTGAACTTCCCACATTTTACTGACAACACGTCGGAGTTATTCCCGTCCCGGCAGGAGCTAACCCCTCTAGGGAAACACCTTGACCTTTCATTCAGATGACGTGGTATTATGTAATATGGCGGAATGACCTGGCTTAGAAGCTGCGACAGGTAGGTGGCGTTGTGTGGCGCGGTGGCCAGTTGGTTTAGCTCAAGCTGCAAGCTCCACATCACCGGTTTGGACGAGGTTGTTGCGTGGCACAGAAAAATTGTTTCGTTGATAAAATCCAAATCTGTGGCGGAGTCCGTAACTGGGGTGCTCTGTATTAAACTGAGGAGACGGTCGAGCCGATTAGAATCCTTGGAATTATTCTTCTGTGTGTTTTCCAGATTTTTTGATAATCCGGACTTGCTTTCTTCTTTGCCACCTTCCGATTGCGCGAATATAGACAACAAGCTTCCTACCTCAGTTGTTGGGTGTTCGGGGTCTGACGGGAATGTATCACCCGGGCAACTAGCAATCATAAAATACCCGGATGTTGTACAGACAATATCTCTTCCGGTGTTTCTAATAATAGTTCTGCTCTCTTCCTCAACATCCGGGCATTCGGATTCAAAGTCTTCACAACAGTTTTTGTATACCGCACACATGAGGTCACATGAACATGGTGTCCCTTGCAGTTCCCCGCATTTGTTTTTACACGACAGTATATTATTTGTTTCGCTTATTTGCCAAGTTCTACTTTTCCTAGACAAGTTTTGTTTTTCCGTGTTGTTGGTTGTATTTCTGTGATTACTCCAGTCCCAGGATGAAGTCTTGGTTAAATTGTTGGTTGTATTTGTGTGGTTACTCCAGTCCCAGAGTGAAGTCTTAGTTAAATTGTTGTATGTTGTATGTGTGTGGTTACTCCAGTCCCAGAATAAAGTCTTGGTTAAATTGTTGGTTGTATTTGTGTGGTTACTCCAGTCCCAGAATAAAGTCTTAGTTAAATTGTTGGTTGTATTTGTGTGGTTAATCCAGTCCCAGAGTGAAGTCTTAGTTAAATTGTTGTAGGTTGTATTTGTGTGGTTACTCCAGTCCCAGAGGGCAGTCTTGGTTAAATTGTTGTATGTTGTATTTGTGTAGTTACTCCAGTCCCAGAGTGAAGTTAAATCATGTTCTGTAGAGAACTTTGACGGGTTGACTTGTGATAAATTGCCCGACATAATCGTCGTGAAACTTTGAACTAGTAGAATCACCAGCATACGCATTCTGACGCCAATCTAAAAAATAAATGCAAAAAAAATGCATGCTTAGTATTTCAAATACGTTTAATTGTTTTAATTGGGGTTGGGTGGTAAGTTAATTAAAAACATGCTCCAATAATATAAAAAAACAAACGTAGGGGAAGTGCGGCTTATTAAAAAAAACTATATTGTAAAAAGAAATTTTCAGGTCTGGTGTTCCATATGGCAGGTGGAAAAGATTTCATCTGTTTCGCTCTTTTTTGTTATTTAAAGAAATAGCATGACCTGCATTATGTCCAGCCGCCTTTACTTCTCCAAATCAGTTATCAATCAGGGTTGGCTTTATTAAGGAACGTCTTGCCTACTCATGTCCGTGAACCGAACTCATAACATCATTTACTTCGTAGAACTTAAGTAACCACCTCGGATTTTATAACCAGGTGTTTTAAAAAGCTGTACTGGAATAGTAATCATGGAAAGAAATATGGCTTTGAGATCGTTTCGGTAGGCCTAAGAACCATAAGACACCTACCCTTATATTTTCTACTTTATTAAAATAGAGTCTTATATCATTTTTCGTTAAATTAAAATTAAAAGAAATATAGGCCTGGACTTTAAAATTTTTATTTAATTGTGTTTAACCATATGGAAAACAAATTTAAATACTTGCCTTGTAGAACCGTGTAAAACTTGTTTTGTCATTTGTTGTTTATTCGTGGACAATTTATACGGGTCATTAGAGATAGTATAGGTTTTAAGTTACATAATTATGACACCGGAAATAAAATCTGGAGGTTAATAAGAGTATGACACCGTCAGAATAAAACTATTTTTTTTATTATTTAAATTTTCGAATAATGAGATTTTTACTAACAGTTGATCTTTTTTTTTAGTTCAGTGATATTGTTATTAAAGCAGCTGATTTATCTGTGTTTACTTATCAAAATAATATTGAAATGGGCTTTATGTGCCCAGTGTTTAAAATGTTTGAACTTTTGATCTAGACAGCCCAGATTTGTGATCGTGCATTATAATATACAAAAAAATTTGTTATTTCCATCCAGAGGCGTAGCGAGGGGGGTGCGGACCGCACCGATTGACACCATTTAGGGGGGTGACACCAAGGCAAAAAAAATAGCAAAATATATAGAGAAAAACTTGAGGGGGGTGCAAATCGAAAGTTTGAGGGGGGTGCAAATCGAAAGTTTGAAGGGGGGGTGCAAATCGAAAATTTGAGGGGGTGAAAATCGGAAATTCGAGGAGGGGGTGCAAATCGAAAATGTGAAAGTTTGTCCCCCGGAAGGGTCGCTACGCCTCTGGTGGGGGGGGGGGGGGGGGGGTAACACCATTGAGTGCCGCACCGGGTGACACCCGGCCTCGCTACGTTACTGTTTCCATCCACCAACTATAACGACCAGTTCGTATTTTATATAACTTCTACCCCACTTGATATTTTCGGAGGGCGGTCAACATTTTTCGGGGGGGGGGGGGGCGGACACTAGTAAAATTGTATGTTTACTATATAAATTCCAGACTTTCTTCGAGCGGGCTCCGCACCCCTGAAGAGATGCCTGGTAAAAACTCTGGTCATCAATAAATGACGTCACGCTTTTTTTTGACGATTTTTACCTCCCCCCCCCCCTCTAAAATGACGTCACACCTCAGCCTACAACCACCCTCAAAATTGCGTTAAATTTTTTTAAACAGCTATATTTTACCAAAATCTTGTCTGAACTCTTTCAAAATAGAGTATTTTAATCAATTGTTATTACAATTCATTAAAACAGTTTTCTAATACTCAAAATAACGTCTAAAATTCGTATTCTAACATTGCTTTTTTATAATGCAAAAGTGTGACGTCGCACCATCTTAACCCCTCCCCCCCCCTCCCCCTCATCACACACCGTCACAAAATTGCGGACCCCCCTCCCCCCCTACGAGTGTGACGTCATTTATGGACAGCCATTCATTCAACCAATCCCAAGAACTAAATATTAGAAAATAAAAATGTGCATTAGTACATCATTGTTTTCACTCATTTTTTCCTTGTTTGTTTGTATTTTTCAATAATTCTGCTACTTGATCTAATAATTTAACACTCCAAACTTTTAGTAGTTACGTGTTCTGAATTGGGTGTATAGATTTGTTATTGGTCCTATAATGTATTATGTAGGGGTGATATTGTCATTAGCGTTATTGAGAGTGTGTGGGTCAGGAAGATCCTAGGGGTCATCCATAAATGACGTCACACTCGTAGGGGGGAGGGGGGGTCCGTAATTTTGTGACGATGTGTGATGAGGGGGAGGGGGGGGGGGTCAGATGTTGCGACGTCACATTTTTGCATTATAAAAAAGCAATGTTAGAAAACGAATTTTAGACGTTATTTTGCGTTTTAGATAACTGTTTTAATAAATTGTAATAGTTTAGACAAGATTTTGGAAAAATATCAATGTTTTAAAAAAATTCAACTGCAATTTTGAGGGGGGTTGTAGGTTGAGGTGTGACGTCATTTTAGGGGGGGTCTGGCTTTTTGTGACGAAGTGTGACGGAGGAGAGGGGGGAGGTAAAAATCGTCAAAAAAAGCGTGACGTCATTTATGGATGACCCCCTATTCTTTAGCAAATTGTTTCTAGCCTCTTATGTAGCTGCTCTATACCACCTACGTAACGCATATAAAACAATAGGCCCATTAACAGTGGCGGAACTAGAAAAAAAGGGCCACCCCGCAAAAAAAATTTTTAGGCCCCCCCTCCCCCATATATATATATATATATATATATATATATATATATATATATATATATATATATATATATATATATATATATATATATATATATATATATATATATATATATATATATATATATAATCACAAAATACGAACATAGGATACTCATTGCTGGCCTGTTCGGGATTTGAAAAAAATCAATTAAAAAATTTCAGCATCATGTTATGTGTGTAAGTCGTAAGTGCATTACTGTGTTTTGTGAAAATCAGTTTTAATTAATTACTGATAGGATCCCAATTAAAAAATCACATCTGCCAAAATAATATAAAACATGAAAGCTTTGTATAAGTAATGGTGTCTCGTGTTATGTTTGTTTTTATGTTTTTTTTTTATTTATATTATTATTTTTTTAAATATTGATTTAATACATTGCCTTTTTTATTCATTGTCATTATTTAGTAAATACATATTAAAAATATAATAATTAATAGAATTAATTGCTTTTTAATTTGTTTAGTACAAATCTATTAAAAGGAGCTTATGATCACCCCTATTTGACTATTTTAAAAAAAAGGGAAATAAGTCATGGAAGTGGTTTGAACATTTGTTTATCTTTGATAAGTTTAATGGTAAGAGAAAGACTCGGCTTTCACAGTGGTTTAAAAACAAAGGGAAAAAGAATATACAAGAGCGTGGGGTGGTGTCTATAGAATAAAGATAATCCAACCGCAGCTAATTTTTTACAAAACAACCATCAAGTCAAAAGTGAAAGAAAATTTAATTTTTTTTAACTAAAAAAATGTGTATTATGGTCGGCTCTGGGCCCCTAAATGGCGTGGGCCCCCCCGCATTGCGGGGTCTGGCGGCACTGTAGTTCCGCCCCTGCTACTGCTACGGTGATTTTGTCAGCTGGATTTTTTTTTCTAGTTATCTCTCCTGATTCTAGTTTTTTTTTTTAAAGAAAACAAATCTGGGATCAAGGTTCATTTACTGTTAGATTAGAAGAAACCTCAACATGGCTGGTTTCCTAAGGCTAGGCCATTACTCTGGACTTCAGTCCAAAGCATTTACCAGAGGTATTTTATTAACCAATTGAAAAATTAACAATATAGATTCTTACATGTGTTAAATAGTTTATCATCTGCGCTACAGCCACAAAATGTATTTAATTAATAATTAAACGACTTGTGAATGATTTGGAGACGCGATGGTGACTGATTTTTTTTTTGACAACTTTTTTTTTCAACTCAAAACGTTTGAAAATTTTGTTAAGCACTTTCTAATTCAGAGCAGTTTTTTAATTTCATGCAGAATCTAATAAATATTAAATTCTACATCAATTTTACTATTAGCTAAGTAGGCCTATCTTATTTCTTTTAGCCTTAAATAAATTAATAAATTTAATGTAAGATTTAGAACACTTGAGTCCAAAGTTTGGACTTTGAAACTTGTAACCCCTAGTCATTAGATTAAGGACATGACTATTCATTCCAGATTACGTTATTTAATATTATTTTTCATTATTATGAAAGCTTAGGAGTAAGCCTATTTCACTCATTTGAAACCAACAATGTTACTGTTAGGCCTAATTAATATTAATTTTATAATTTTCAGTCAATAATATTGGCCTACAAACAATTTTATCATTTTAGGCCGGCTTTAGGGGGGCTGTAACAGTTATTATAGATCTAGATCTAACTAATAATTACTAAGACAAACTAAATAGCAATAATAGTATGCTAATGAAAGAAAAAAAGCAGAGCTTTGACTCTCTCTAGATCTAGGTCTTGTATGTTTTTAATAAATTATTAAATTGTTTTTGTTGTTGCTCACAGTTAGCTGAAAGTTTCCAAAATTAAAATAGATCAGTAGACTGCAGACCTATTACTGAAGGCTTAATTAATACTTTAAAAAACCATTGCGCTGACATAGTGAATGCTTTCACCATTGGCATAGCTAAGTAAGTAGGGTGTCACCCAGTACCTTCCCCCCTTCCTCAAACGAACTAGTAGGCCTACATATAGGCCTTTATATTTATATAACCATAAGAAAGAGTGGCAGTACAGGCATTTTATAGACTGTTTGCATTCCACAGTACAAAATATATACAAAATCTTTTTTATGCAAACGTTAAATAAACACTAAATTCATAATGGCTTTTATTCTTGTCTCATTAGGGAATATCATAACCAGGCTGTTGTCTACTTCGTCTGTAATGAACGGTGAGCATTTGAGAAAATAATTTGTCTATTTCTATAGTAAAATTTTTATCAGGTTATCTCATACATTGGCTTTATTTTATTATCTCAGAACGATCTATCCAATTCCAATGTCTACAAGTACAACTAGATATAGTTGTAGTTTATTCCTGTTTTATTGCTTTGTCTTTCAAAATTTTCCAGGAAAGTATGTAAATGTTGAAGTGAAAAAAGATGTAGCCGTTGTTAGATTTGATAACCCTGATGCAAAGGTAAGTGTAAAACAAGATGAGATTTTAAAAATGTCTTTTGTGCATTATGGTTCGACAATATAATATGATATAGAATATGTTACTGTAATGTAATGTAATGCTTTTAGTGTTATAGCCAGGGATGGTAATACAGTAAAAATTAGCTGTGTTCATTGTTTCAAGTAATTTAACTAAAACACCTTTTTAATTTGAAAATTATTCTGTAAATTCAGTTAATTGTATAAATGTTTGCATTTTTTTAAAGGGATAAAATAATTATTAGAAATATATTTACATCTGTAGGTAAATACCTTGTCTGTTGAAATGCAAAGTGAGTTTGAGGATGTAATACAACAAGTAAAGAGCAATGATAGCGTCAAGGCAGCAGTTCTTATCTCGAAGAAACCGGGGTCTTTCATAGCAGGAGCTGACATAAAGTAAATTTTATTACCACTTAATGACAAATATGTTATTTTTTTAAGGCTTCAATCCTTTCAGTCATTTTTATCAAATAATTTAAATTTCTCTCCTACTAGTATGATTGCCAGGTGCAAGACAAAAAAAGAAGTTACGGAGTTGTCGACTAAAGGCCAGGCTGCCTTCCAGAAGATAGCCAGTAGCAAGAAACCATTTGTGGCAGCCATCATGGGAAATTGTCTTGGAGGAGGATGTGAAGTAAGAATTTGTTACATCTCACAATATATTTCTTAGATGTCTTACTCTTGTCTGCTGGTTGTTGATTAATGCTTTACGGAATTGATTAACGAGAATACCAATCAACCAGTTTGACCTAAGCCTGTGAAGCTATGATAAAGCACATGGCTGTAGCTACACTTTTCCAACACACTTTATTTTGGCTGGCTCTCATTAGTTTGGCATGTTTAAGTTGCTAGTTTGTATGATGACCACTTCCAAAAGAGGAACCTCCGCAACTAAACTGACATTGGGCTGATGTACTACTTGCAGTTTCTCTAGTATGGTGTTCTATTAAGATGTGTGGTTAGCCCCATGCTTGACCCACCTCCTTTTTTAACTCAGCTTGGGACTAGCTTTGTCTGAGTTACAAAGCAACCAAGAGATATTTCAAATGTATAAGGACCCTTCAGTAATCACATAAATTAAAAAAGAAAGACTGCAATGGTTTGATTGTCTGGAAAAAATGTCAAGTCAAAAATGGGTCAAAGTGGTGTATGACCAAAACACCAAAGTGGAATGACCAAAAGGCAGCTCTAAACTCAGAGTTGTAGAGACAGACCTCTAATGTTTAGGATCCATGGAAGAAGACAGCAGACAAGTAGTGTAAGAAAGTTGTGAAATAAGCTAAAAAATCCATTTGTGCACTGTAGAGTCACAGTGATGGATGAATGGTATTAACAGGTGCTGAATTGTGTTGTTGGTTTATGCCGAGTAAGAAATAAATGTCACTCATTGCTGATTTGTTTTTAAATATTTCATACTCAATTTGTAGTTAAACAGGAATGCACAAAATAGTAATTTCTTTTGGCTTGTTTTTTGTTTTCATTTCTACATGCAAATTAATGAAGTTATTGCAACTCAATTCACCTAAATTTTTTAAACATTTTTTTCCCTAAAAATTAGTTAGCTCAAGCCTGTCATTATAGAATAGCAGTGAATGACAAAAAGACTGGATTAGGATTACCTGAAGTTATGCTTGGGTTGTTACCTGGTGCAGGTGGAACACAGCGACTCCCTAAACTGGTAATTGGCACATCCTTTACTTAACCATCTCTTTTTTTAATGAAAGGAATATGTATTTTTAAAAACTTTTTACTAAGCGTAATCGAAATAAGAAAATAAACATTCTTTTCTTTAACTTTAATAATTTTCTTTTATACTTTTAGTATTCAAATATGTAAAAGTAAGTGTCAGAACTTGTGTGTATTTTTAAAAAAAAAAATTGGTATTTTATTAATTCTTTCCAATTAGTTCATTCTTGAGTTGACACCCCTCTCTCATGACTAAACCAAACTTAACTTTCTTCCTGGTTGCCTTATGTCACTAATATCTGATGTATAAAAAACAAGTATTATTTGCCCTTTATTAACTTTTTTTCAGAATTGTAAACATTCTAAGTAAACCCCAGCTCACTTGATGTGATGCCACTAACTAGTTATCTCCCCTTTTGTTATTGATTACAGTAACCTCTAATTAAATTTTTAATGACCAATTTAATGTTCTGGCCAAATACCATCACAAATAAGGAGTTATTCATTTTTGTTCAAAAGAATAACAATGACCACTGACAGTAGTCATTAGGCACAGAGAGGGAAATGAGAGCAAAGACTGCTCTTAGACAGACACCACAGAGCAAGATAAAATGACTTAATATCTTAATTACATTGAAAATGAGATAATTTTAAATTGACATTGGAAATGAACTTATGTGGAAAGATTGAAATAGATGACTCTCTTAGAAATGTATCAAAACTGCATTATAGAATTTGACCACAAACTCACAGAAAACTGAGACCTTAAACAAACATGTAAAATTGCCCATGTTTGTTCTAATAATATAATATTTTCTTTTAAAAAATGTCTAGGTATCCGTACCTGATGCATTAGATATGATGCTGACTGGCAAAACAATCAAGCCAAGTAAAGCCAAAAAGATGGGCTTAGTGGACATGACCATAGAACCATTAGGTAAGCCCTTTAACATTCTTGGTTTTTATCTTTCTTTGTTAGATGCTGATTATGGTTTTTAAATCATATCTTTTTTTAATGTTTTCATCCTATATTTTGTTTCAGACTAGATGTTAAAAATCATACTTTTATTTGAACTGTTTTCTAATAGTAAATACAATGTTTTTATCCTATGTTTTCTTTCAGACTAGAAGTTAAAAATCGTACTTTCATTTGAACTTTGTTCTAAATACAATGTGTTGTTTTTTTCTGCAGGCCCTGGATTAGTTGATGCCGACACTACAACCTTAAACTACTTAGAAGACATAGCCATTCAGTCTGCAAGGTAATATTTTCTTTTGATATTACTTACAACTTTTTTTTTTAAATTATGATGCATTTTTAAAAAAGTTTATTTTTCCAAATACCCATAATTAAGTGAAAGTTAATTTTCTTAGAGATTTAGCCAATGGCTCTTTGAAGAGGGCACCCAGGAAGAAAGGACTCCAAGATAGTAAGTTTACTTTCAACTTTTTTGAAAAAAATGTTTTTCTGACTATTAAATACAAGTTTTCTTTTTTTATATAAGTTCAGATTTTCACCCAATATCCTCTTAAGTTATTTGCTTGTTTTGTTCTTTGAGAATAGTAAGGTTCATTTTAAAAGGCCATTGATTAATAGGGTTTGTTTTCCTTTTACAGAGGTTATGGATATCCTCATGAAATACGACTTTGGAAAAAACTTTGTATTTAATAAAGCAAAAGCCCAAGTTATGAAATTATCTAGAGGACTTTATCCAGCCCCGCTTAAAATTCTTGAGGTATGCATGATTATATTGTGGATTAGTTTAGTTTTGTATGGCTGTAGGCTGAGTTAATATTATTTTAATTCAAATGTTAAATACTGAGGTTAAATTAATTTTCTTTAATCAAAACTATTAGTAATTTGTGTAACATTATTTCCATCATGTGATCTATAGGTTGTTAGGACAGGCATTGATAAAGGCCCAGCTGCTGGATTTCCTGCAGAGGCAGAGGTAAATCAGTGATTCTTCTTTCATTTCAGACGTCTTTATTTCATATTTTTAAAATGCTTTTTATGGAAAAGTATTAAGTATTTCTATGAAAGTAAAATAAGTTAGGCATTGACATGTTCGCTTGTCACCATTTAAAAACGTTTTTTTGCAGGGTTTTGGATCTCTTGCAATGACACCAGAATCCAAAGCTTTGATTGGTTTATTCCATGGGCAGACAGCTTGCAAGAAAAACCCATTTGGGAAACCAGAGAAAAAAGTCAAGTAAGTTTTCCCCAACTCTTTTTTTTTATTATTTCTTTTGTCAGAATATTTTTATAACCAAACTTAAATTTTTCATGTTTTTTTTTAAAATAATATATTTAAAGATTAAAAAACATAATAAGGAAAAACTCATGTTAATTTCTAAAAAAAATATTGATTGGTGTAAAATAGAGGCAGTTTCAGATACACTAGATGGGTGACGGATTATTCTCTTTACATATTTCTTTAAAAGGTTTTTACTGCTTCTGACAACATTTCCAAAAAAGGATGTACATATGTTGTCAAATTTTAACTTTCAGCACAATAGGAATTCTAGGAGCAGGTTTGATGGGGGCTGGTATTGCACAGGTTTCTATTGATAAAGGCATGAAGGTAAGCTCTTTATTTGAACTATTTTCCTTTATTTTTTTACAATTTATATCCATAGATATACCTAGAAAGTTTCAGTGTCTCATGAAATGTTTACACTTTATAAAATTGTGCTGGTTTAGGTTCTGCTTAAAGATATGTCTATGGGTGGTCTAGCAAAGGGACAGGATCAGGTGCAAAAAGGACTTGATGGGGCTGTTAAGAGGAAGAAGATTTCAGGGTAGGTCTCAATTTTTATTATTTTAACATTTAATATTGTAAGGATTAAACATTTTAGTAGGCTGATAGGGGATAGGCATGGGTAATGGTAAGGAAATATTTACTTCCATCGAGGCAATATTTTTGTTCCACTGTGCATGCCTATGTTTACAAAACAGCACTACACATGTCCTGGTTTTTCTCATCCTCTATGTTTGTTGTTATTTTTAGTTCATCATCTGAGTATGGATGAATGAAAATACATGCCGCATAAAGATCTGATTGTTCTGTAACATCAATAATTTCCCTAACTAATTAACTAGTAATTAACTTAGCTCGTTTCCAATTACTAATTTTAATTAATGTAAAAAAATAAACAAAGGTCTTGATGGGATGGGTATCAACTGTTTAGATTCACAGACTGCATTTGTTATTAATAATCATTTAATATTATTCAAATTTCATGTTATTAAATAATTTTCCTAAAAGTGAACAAATCACATTTTTAAAAAGTATGCAATAAATATAATCCCAATTGTGACTGGACTCTCACCTCTCAGTTACACATTAGCATAAGAATTAGAGCCTCTTGCAGATCATGCTCATAAATATTGCATGCAGCCTAGCCTAAGGTCTTGGGGAGACTGGGCTGAAAGCATTCCCTTCCACACAGACACCTCGATTTTTAATCAAGTGTAAGTGTTGTACAAACAAACTAAACAGAAAGCATCAGTACATTATGGCTTTACTATGCCTTTAAAGACTTGACTAAATTGAATTCCCCAACTTTTTTTGCTTATAATTTCAACTATGGGAAAGAGTCTCTTTTATCTTACGTAACCTACATTTCTTATTGCCATCACTATGCATAACATGTACCCTTGAATATGTGAATGCTGGGTTTTTTTTATATTAGTTAGCATTTTTTTAAATTCAGCCTACAACTTTATTTAATGCTTTACTTTGGTTTTAATTTTTTTTTCCTTAAGTAAATACATTCAGTCTAAAAATTTATTTTGCTCATAACTTTTCATTGTTAAATTCTTTATTTTCAGTCTGGAGAGAGATGTCATCTTTTCCAACTTGGATGCCACTTTGAATTACGACAGATTCAAGACTTGTGACATGGTAATAGAAGCTGTTTTTGAGGACATCAACATTAAACACAAAGTCATTAAAGAAGTGGAGCAGGTGAGCCTTTGCTTCTTGACGTTTTACTCACGTTCCTACACGTCATAAGTCATTCTAGAATTTCTTGTAAAAAGATTAAGGTCTTAGTATTAGAAAATTACATGTGATAAAAATCAACTTAGTTATTTATAAACAATTGTAATATTTATAAATTATAATAAGGTTGTTATTGGGCATAAGCATTATAATGAGTTAACTTTATTTTTGTTAAATATGTAAGCAATTGTGTAATTGCCTTTTTGATACTGAGGTGAAAATAAATATATTTCTGTAGGTTATAAGACCAGACTGTATATTTGCCTCCAACACTTCAGCACTGCCTATTACACTAGTAGCTCAAGCCAGTGCAAGGCCAGAAAAGGTTTTTTTTATCTTTTCAAAGTTTGATATTATATTTAATTGAAATGTATTAAATCGTTAGATTTTAAAAAAAAAAATTAAAATATATTTATATCGTGTGTGTATATATATATATATATATATATATATATATATATATATATATATATATATACACTAAATTAATGTGTCTCCTTGACACTAGGTAATTGGCATGCACTACTTCTCTCCTGTTGATAAAATGCAACTTCTTGAGATCATCACCACAGAACAAACCTCTAAAGATACAGCAGGTACACTAGTTAATATATGCATGTGCCTCTTTTGTATTAGGTGTTAATACACAATGGGGAAGAAACTGATACCAGTTCTAAATTTAAATAATGAAGATTTACTAACACTTACATTTTTATTTAAATAAACTTCAAATAGCTCTTAAAAGCCAAAAAGATTGCTAACCCTAGTTTCATCACAAATTACTAAAAAAAAAATGTAATGGATTAAATTGGTTTTAAAAAAAATATTTACAACAAATAAAGTCCCATAAATTTATTTTGGCTTTAACGTTGATTGCATTATTGCTAAAATCAGTCTTTTAAAATTCAAATCCTCTTATTTGTGCAAGGTTTTTGTGCAAAAAGTATTTTTATTTTTTGTTTTGAATTCTAATAATAGCCTTTTCTTTTTTAAGCATCTGCTGTTGATGTGGGTTTAAGACAAGGTAAAGTTGTTATCACTGTCAAAGATGGTCCAGGCTTTTATACCACGAGAATACTGGCCCCAATTTTGTCTGAGGCAATTAGGGTGTTACAGGCAAGGATTTTTCCAACTTTGAAATATTCTTTTCTTACTCTGTTTCAAATTTATAAACTCTCTTATTTGTTTTAAGTAGATTCCATTTCTTGGTCTCCAATTACTATAATTACATCCAGCACATTAGAATTAATCACTAATGATAAAAACTATCACTATGTTGTTTTTCTTAACTTTTTTAAATACAAAGAATTGGTTTTTTTTAATCAATCTGTTTTCATTTTAAAAAGATATTATTGCCTTCTACTACTAATAAATTTAAGTGATTTATTTTTTGTTATTTAAGTGCTGACAACTTAAATTGAATTTTCATTTGTTTTTCTAAATAGGAAGGAGTTGCACCTTCAAAGTTAGATTCATTAGCAAAGGATGCAGGGTTTCCTGTGGGTGTTGCTACACTCATTGATGAAGTAGGTGTTGATGTAGCCGCACATGTTGCAGAGGATCTTGGGAAGATTTTTAAAGACAGATTTAAAGGTGGAGATCCAGAGCTGCTCAAAGCCATGGTGTCGAATGGATTTTTAGGTAACTAAATTACACATTCGTTGTATTGTTTTGATGTAAATATTTTCTAAATATTGTATTTATCATGTCTAAAGCTTATTCCCTGCATTTATTAACTCTATACAAATTCTGTATCAATTTTAGGCCGCAAAAGTGGTAAAGGGTGGTTCCAGTATGACGTAGGAAGTAAAAGTAAACCAGAAAATCAAGGGGCTCTTGATCTGCTCAAGAATTTTGCAGTAGCACCTAGTCCAGGGTATGTTACATTTTTGGGGGATTTTGAGGTTTATGAGGTTTAGACTTTTTTAAAATTCTTTTCTTTATTTTTAATTGTATTATTGGAGGAGATTATCTTTAACATAATGAAGAATTACCTGTTAACTCTGAGTTCAGCCTGTTAACATGCACTTTATATTTTAAGCAACAACTTAATATATTAAAATGTAAGCTGCGAAAATCTATTAGGATCTAGAAAATAAATTAAATTGTATTACTTCAACATTTAAAAGCAAAAATTATTTTGTTTTAGATTGACTGATGAAGACATCAAGTACCGTCTCCTGTTCAGATTCATCAATGAAGCCGTTCTTTGCCTTCAGGAAGGAATCCTAGCAAATCCAGTAAATTTAATGATTTGTTTTTATTATTTCTCTCAAAACCAATTTATTTTGTTAAACTGACTTCCAACCAATAACTGAACATTGCCAGAACAATTTAATTCTTAAATATTTTTTTTCTAAATAGGTGGATGGTGATGTTGGGGCAGTATTTGGCCTTGGATTCCCTCCTTTCCTTGGTGGTGAGTGGACATAATTCAATGTTGTTCTAGGCTTTTATTTGATTGGTCATCTCAGTTTGAAAATAATTATTGGCCTCTGGATGTCTTAACTACGTTTGTTAAAGTGGACGTGTGAACCACATTCTCATCTACACCAATAAAAATAATTTTTTTTTTTTTTGCAGGTCCTTTCCGTTATATCGATATCAACGGTGCCAAATCTTTTGTGGATCGCATGAACAGATACCGGGAAATTTTCGGTGTGCCTTTCGAACCCTGCCAGCTCCTTAAAGACTATGCTAAAGACCCTAGCAAAAAATTCCATCAATAAGTTACATTTGACCTACATTAAAATGAACTCTTAGTGTACACAAGTCCTACTACCTGTGATACGTGGGATTAAGTGGCTTGCATTCTGTTTTGTAAATTCCATTGGATTTATTTAATAAGTGTGTGATCTATTTAAATGAAAATGTATTGATTTTGTTTGTGATGTCAAATTTGTGATTTAACTGATACCAGTGTAAACCATATTGGACCATGACAGATGTGTTATACTTTTTTTATGTGATGTGCCATAATGATTTTCATCCTTGGACTGCAATTTAATATAACAATTTGAAAGTTTTCTGTAAAATGTTCATTACATAATTCCCTTCAGTTGAAGTTTTGTAGTTGTTAGTTTTTTAGGTAAATAAATCACAATTAATATTTATTTTTACTAACAGAGGTCTTTTGTACATACTTCATTTCTCTGTTAAAATTATGATGAATGTTGAAAATTATGTATTCACTCATACAAATAAAACAGAACAAATTAAATTGTCATTAAATTTTACCAAATTACTTGAATGAGTTGGTTTGGATAATTTGAACTATAATTAATGGAAAATACATTTTGATGGAAACTTACATGTGAAGACTATTTGGCAAGTAGTGTCAACAACAAAAAAGGCAATTTTTATTTCTATTTATTATATATATGAAGAAAACATTTTAACTCCAAGTTAACATGCATAAACTATTATTCAGATGACAACCAAAAAAAGTACATATAAATTACATAAACAGATAATCTGATATACAAGTATCAGTCACCAGGGAATAAATAAGTGTCATTGTCTTTAATTATTCTAGCAGTTGCTGCCCCGTAATAATCCAAAACATATGAAGATCCATCAGAAGGACCTAGCACCTGTAAACAGAACATTCCATTAACTAATGCAATTAAAAAAGCAATAACTTTTCTATTATTTAGAAAACAGTTAAGTATATCTATAGTTGAGACAAAAAAGCTTCATGAACCATATACAAAATGAAAGAATAACTTACCTGAGTTGCAATTAGTAAAATATCTATTAGTTGCCCTAAAAACATAAAACCCAGTGTGGCAAACTTCAAGAGACCTAAATGCAAACAATTTTACAGAAATCAAACTACTTTTAGCAGGACTATTGCAAAATGAAATAAGGAAACTTAATGCAATAAATATATTTTTTTAATCTACGAATACTTAGGTAAAATAATTAATTTTTGTTTTTAAATGACTGGATAACAATAATCAAATTATCTAATTAAATTAATCTTACCAATAGCTGGGTAGCCTAAGTAAAATCTATCAACACCAAACATTCCTAAAAAAACAGACAGCAGTAATGCAGTTTCAAATGAGTGTCCATTTCTGAAATTACAGGAGTAATTTTTCAGCTACATATTAAAACAAATTAGATGTTCAATAATCAATTATAAACTATACCAAGTTTTCTACTTCAAGAAATAATTATTCTCTTCTTAGCATATCTTACACTTTCATTTAATTAAGTCAAACGAAATATAAAATAACAGTAACTTTTATTATGACAAAGGACATTTTGTCTAAAAGTCTCTTGACAGGTAAAATTAACTGTGTTCCTATACTCTCAATTTTTTACAATGTGAGACATATATCACAGCTAAATAATAACTTACAACTTATAATATACTGACACAAAAAGGTTTTTACTGAGATGAAAAGTACACTACTAACTGAGACTATTTTACTCTATCAAAATTATTTGAAAGTTAATTACTACAAGCCTTTAAGCAAACTACCTATTTTTTAACTCAAACTTACGTCCACTTGCAAGGAACTTCAAGCTGAAACGTAACATTTGTGCTTCCATCACACACAACCTCTGGTGCTGTTTTACATGTGACTGAAAAAATTGAGAATCAAGATTAACTCTGATTTCAACATTAATGCAAACTACACATTTTGGTTACATATTATTTTAAAATGTTGTACACTAGTTTTTAGAGCTGCTAGAATAATGTTATGAAATTATTTATAAATCTCAAATCACCATTTGCCACTTTTTTATCTTTTGAACATCCTCTGGGTTGTTGTGTATCTGGGTCTATCTCAGGCTCTGCACATAAATATCTTTACATACTTTAAAGAAAAATTGCATTAGAAGGATATAAATATAGTGCTATTTACAGCATCAACCTTATTTAGTACCTTATTAATTATTAATGTATTTATAAACGATCTTGAATAACTATTGTTTTATGTTACGATGTATGTTATAGGCATGATGATATCTTAAATAAACTCATGTGGCCTCAAAGTGACCCCTTGAGAGTGTTGAGATGTTTCACCTACAGACAAGAAAACATAGGCAGTCGATAATAAGATAATGCCCTTCTCGCGTCTCGCAATTTCCCAACACCCTATTAGTTATGTTTTGTAGTAGGCCCTATTGAATATTATTCCCAATATTAATCAGTTTTATATTCTGTATTTTTAAAAAGTAAGATCGCTTGCAAGGCACTGCGAAATAATAAAACATTTTACTTAGTTAGGCTCTCTAAGATTTTGTTAAATTAAAAGTAGACAACAGAATTTTTTTTATATAAAGTACAGTCTATTTAAATATAGCTTCTAGAAAGGATACTGTCCAAGTAATAAATCTTTACATTTCTTAGATTCCACTATTTCTTCTGCCAAAGTTTGAAATACGAAAGGGAGTACCACACTAACTGACAACAAAACTGTAACAAACAATCTAAAAAGTGCAGGTAAGTTTCTCTTCATTGTGGTGAGAGTCATATTGATTAGACTGTTCGATATTTACATTTTTTATCAAAAGAGATTGTTGCTGAAACTAGGCAGGTCTGAAGCTAGACCTAATGACCATTGTAAGAAACAGGATCTAAGCCCAAAGATTTAGATCCTCAGTTTTGATTTTACTCATCTAAGCCTAGTGCGATCAAAACATTGAACCGATTCACTTCAACTTTAGATTACGGAAGTTTATTTGCATAAAAAATAGTGCTCCAAAACTTTATAGATAATCTAATACGTTTCTGATTAATACTTTGCAATACGCAAGATAAAAGCCTAGTGCGATCAAAACATTGAACCGATTCACTTCAACTTTAGATTACGGAAGTTTATTTGCATAAAAAATAGTGCTCCAAAACTTTATAGATAATCTAATACGTTTCTGATTAATACTTTGCAATACGCAAGATAAAAGATGACTTACATCATAAAAATTAAAAAATTTTAACCTATTTAATTATAGTATTATTTAACAAAAATAAATAGTTCTATGTATTAAACACTGTCGTATTAATATTAAGCAACTTAAAAACTTGACAGTCAATACCAATAAACAAAACAATAAAACCAATTATGATTGTGAGAAAACCTCTACAATTGACTTTAGCTTTGCTAAAACCTGATGTTGTCTCTCATCCTCACATATTAACGGTAATCATAGTTAAGAAAGCGAGACTGATATATTGTGGGCTTAGATATATCTAGATCTGTACAATGTATCTTTATTATACTATTATTCAGACAAGTGGTCATCCATAAAAATTAAAAGTTCTAGCCTAGCTTAAGCCTTAAGTGCCCTTAAGCTAGGCTGCTAGGGCAAGGTGTCATCAATGTATGATCATATGATATCATCATAAACTAAACTAAACTTAATTCTGTTCATTCATTGTCAGGACGTTATTAGTTATTTGTGTAGATTAAAATTTAAATGCAACAATGTGGTGTCACACTTTCAACCCCCCCCCCCCCCCACTTATTCCTCCACCTATCATACAAAATCCCCCCCCCCCCCCCCCCCCCAAAGTGTGACAGATGGATGATCTCCAATCTGGAGGAATTAAATAACTTGAAGTATTGTTAAGTAAAGTAAGAAGACAAGTCCACACCCTGTCTTCTAGCACTGTGATTACTGCCTGCACTATACTAGTAAATTAGTACACACACTAACAAGTACTTAGACTTTTTAGTAAACTAATAACTGACTTGACTAGGCCTACACATGTCAGTCTAACTTTCTATGAATAATGTTTTTCTAGCAGATATTTTTCAAATGTCATGAAATAGAAGCGTGTTTATTTGTGAATTTCATCTGGGATCATAGAATCCTTTTGGACAATCTTGTATGTCACATCTCAGACACTGCCCATTGTAAGAGCCTTCATCTACCTCTACAACAAACAAAGAGCCTTCATCTCCCTCTACAACAAACATTATCATTGTCCACTATACCTTCCCAAACCAAAATACACAGCAAAGACACCCGATGACATTTTTATTGAATTCTCTGTAACAAGCCACTCATTAATTCCTCAATAGTGAAGTCCCTAAACCATTGCTTTGTTTATGAACAAAGGGTCAGCGTGGTTGAGTCGGTAAAACTCATGGTTGCTAAACCGAAAATTTTTTAGTTTGAACCCTCGGGCAGATGAGGCTCGTTAGCTGGGGACAGCCACTCCTAGGAGAGACAACTCCAAAATCAAACAACTGCTGCCTTGTAGTTTGTTCTTGGTTGGACAAAGGCTATGGAAGCAAATCCAAAAAGAAAAGCAGGCTGAATTCTGAGTCAATGGCCTCTATGGCACATAACCAGTTGACACGTATACTTAATTGTTTTGGAGGGGATCCCATCCAACACAAGAACAAAAAAGAAGTTTAGGAACAGTCTGAAGTTGTGAAGTAGGCAACACCATATAAAAAATCTGTACCTGATAGACTTATTTCCACAAATTATTATGGTTATTCCTTCCTTTAATTTTGTAGCCTAAATAATAAAACTTTCAGTCTTAGTACTAAGTAGACTGGTATTAAGATCATTAGTTACTATTAATCTCTTTTTATAATTGTATTATTCCCTGCAATTAAAATAATCATAATAACTACTAAGAATAGTATTTATTTTCAGATGGAGTGTAATTGAAGTGAAAAAATTGTTTCATTTATTAATATAGGATGAGAAAGAAAAAGAGCAACTTACTATATTTAAGAATCCTTATTTTTTGGACAAATATCACAATTTGTTTATATTTGTTACAGAATGTAAGACAGCTTATATTAGAGAATGGATTTTATTTTATTCTGTCCAGACATCTCCGGATGACCCATGCACAAGCAGAGGAGTTCTATGCTGAACATCGAGGCAAGGCTGGGCTTTTGATTACTCATTTCTACTTATTATTTACAAAAAAAAATTAAATCAGACTAATTTATTTTCTCATTAAGAAATATTATTTCAGTTTTGAGTTTTCAGCATTACCAGAAAAAAAATGTGGGCCTATAATTATACTAAACCGATGTAGCATAAACAGTTGTTTAGAGACAGCTTCTTGGTTATAATCTATAATTTTTTCTTTAAATAGTAGCAAATTCACATTACACAAATGGTCAAAATAATGTATTGCAAACATAAAAAATACAAATCAGTGTACCACTACCACCATACATACAAGGCAGTGTTCAGACACCATTGAATTCTAGTTTTTTCCATCTATAGCAGCTTTGTTATGTTATGCATTCTTGCATTTTACTTTTTTTTTAATTATTATTTTTAAAATAATGCTCTAATGTATGAGCTTATTTATTCAGTTTCCTTTGCTTTTGTGCACCATATATTAAGAACATTTAATTTTATGTCTTCCCACAGGAAAATTTTTCCAAAACAGATTAGTGTCCTTTATGAGCAGGTAAAATTTTTAAAATCATTGCAAGTATAAAATATGGAATTCTACAAAAAAAGTTTACAAAATCTTGATTAAATACTTCATTAAAAGGTACTCTTCAATATAATAAAGTTGTGTTACCCTTTTCGGTATTTGGGTATTTTTGTTGTATAATTAATCAAATATAAAATTTTTATTGATAATTACCATTTTATTGTACATAAGAAGTAAGTCTACAATTTTTTAAACTAAACTAATTTTAAATTAATTTTCTTTAGTGGACCTATCTGGAGTCATGTACTATGTGGTGATGATGCCATTGCCAGATGGAGGAAGCTGATGGGACCCACTAAAGTTCTCAAGTAAAAATATTTTCTATGAACTTACTTTCACATTGCGATATGGCATTTTCTTTTTTTTTTTTTTCAAACATAAAATATCCACATAGTATGATGAGCCTGGGATCTTTATGCCATATCTAAAATTATTTTTAAAACAAGCTAAATTTACTTTAATTACTTTGATTATTTTCCTTCACACATACATTAATAGCTTATTATTTTTTAGATTGCGAGAGCATGTTGAAAGAATATTTAGAATCTTTAGTCATTATCTCATCCCATCAACTAAATTAAAAATAAAATAAACTGAAATTCTTTTTTCTTAATAGTAGAATTGATTATTGTTAAACTTTACAGGACTGTGTTTGAAGATCCCCAAAGCATCCGAGGCCTTTATGGACTTACAGACACAAGAAACTGCACCCACGGCTCTGGTAAAATTATATTCTGAAAATTATCCCTTACAAACTACTTCCATTATTTCGTTAATGAATATTTTTTTACATTGTATTCTGAAAATTATCCCTTACAAACTACTTCCATTATTTCGTTGAAAGTTTTTATTTAATTAATGGAAGAAATAATTTTGTTACTGTTTACTGTTTCAGATTCCAATGAAACAGCGAGGCGAGAAATAAATTTTTTCTTCCCTGAGTTTAACATTGACCAGTGGTTTGAACAACAGCATGATTACTTTTACAAAGACCTGGTAGAGTTTGATGCCTCTGTGTGTCAGCATATATCTATACCAGACTTTAGGACGCAGCAGGACGATGTGATTACATAATAAATACTGAGAGAATATATTTCTGTTCTATAACTTACTTATTTGTTTTTTGTATGCTGCTATCACTTAATTTATTTAAAAGATCATCTTTTCTCTTTTGTGCCCAAGAAATTTGGATACACCACAGAAAACTAGTTTAAAGATATCATACCCAAATTCAGAATTCTGTATTGTTTCGAGAATGATGGGAGTTGTATTTAAACGTCATTATTTTGACAAATTAATTGTGACAGAGGACTAGAACAAAGACTAAATTATTAATGTCTTTAAATTATTTCAGTAATAGTCAGCAGTAGCATCTCACCTTACATTATTTATACGTAATAGCTAAACTTAAAGTTGTATCTTCAATAACAGCATAATGATATATTATTTTTAAAAACCTTCTATTATTAAATCTTTTTTTTTAATTCATTATTTATAAATATTTTTTTCCATCTGACTTGATTTACAATGTAAGAAATACTTACACTTACATTATCAAAATGTTATATAACCAAGAAATCAAGCAATACATTCTTAAGCACTAATTGATTTATTGGCAGCAAAATTAAAGAAAAAAATCAAAGAAAACAAAATTATTGTAAATAATTTAACATTGGAATTGTGAATGTAATCTTTTGATTGGTTTTAGCATATGTGGAAAAATAGTTTGTGATTAAAAAAAATTGATTTTTTTTTCCTTATGAGGTTTTTAAACATTTTATAAAATTAATCAGGCAGTTTCACTGATTTAAAAATTTAAACTAAAAAAATATAGACCTAGAATTGATAAGGAATTTTTCTATTTTTTAAAAGCTACAATTTTAAACATTTTATAGAATTGATCAGGCAGTTTATCTGATTTATAAGTTTAAACATTTTATAGAATTGATCAGGCAGTTTCTCTGATTTATAAGTTTAAACTAAACATTTTATAGAATTGATCAGGCACTTTCTCTGATTTATAAGTTTAAACTAAACATTTTATAAAATTGATCAGGCAGTTTCTCTGGTTAAAAGTAAACATTCTTTTCATAAATGAACATAAACATGTAAGCAATAATGCCTGATCCGAGCGCGGTCATTGAAGCTATCAGTGCCAGTCTGGAGTACACATTGGCCTGTTCATACTGACCTTCAGTGTTCAGGATACGGCACTGCAGAAAAATATTTTTAGATTACTTGTACTTTTATAAACTTGGGGAATATGGGTTAGCTCCCAAAAACTAACTGACTAAAAAAACATGTCACACTGAGTTTAACAACTTGGCGCATTGGATCATTTTCTGTTGCTAATAAGTGTCAAAACTCCATTTATGTTGATTTCATTATGGTGAATACAACATAAGATTTTGACAAATAGTCAATGAGTCCTAGCTGTAGTATAGACTTTCTTGTATGTAGGTAATTACTTACTGACATGAATTAATGAAATGTGATGAAGTTGGTTTGCCATACCATGTTTGAGTAGTAAATGGCCACAAGTCCCACAGGCCAACAGAAGAGACAGGAGATGAAGGCGAGGCCTTGATGGTCCGAGTTCTCAGGTAAATTCCTCCTGGGGTTCTGGACACTTTGACTTGTGTCTGTGTCCTGGAAGACAGACACCAAAGTGAGAAGCCTGATAATGATGACACTAACAGAGACCCAACACCAAGTATTTGGGGGGGGGGGGGGTTGGTGGCAAGTGGCGTACGCATGGAGAGAGGTGTTAGCTGGGGTCAACACCCCTCATGGCTCCCAAAAATGAAGGTATCTTAAGTTGTATTTACTTAATACAGCTATTTGCAGCAGTGTGCTCATGCTGCTGTAATTCTTAACTATATATTATCCCCTAACTTGTCTATAGACACCCCATTATGATATCTATGCCAATAACATTTCTAGGAACTCCCTACATATTCCACAAAAACAGTTTATTATAAAATTGTGTGATTGTTCAAATACATTGTTTTACATCTGCATGAGAAAAGGAATATGGGCTATAAGCCTAAGCCAACTTTCCATCCAACATTCTAAGTATTGGACATTTTAGCACAGAAAAGAGTCAAAGATGTATACAATCGTATGGATAGTAGACCATACGATTGCTAACTAAAAAGCCTCGCGTTTAAATGTGGTTTCGTTTAAGTAGAACGCCCTGAATCCACCCAGCTCTAATGGGTACCTGACTATTTAGTTGGGTCAACAATTTTGTCATTGTGTTTCTGGTTGTTTCAATCAAAATAATGATTCATTACATAAAAATGGCATGACAATACATGACATAGCTTTTTTTTTAAAAGAGTTTCTTTCAAAATAATATTATTAGTGTACCTGAATTCTACTGAAATTAGTAGGACGGAAAAAGTTTGAATAATTGGTGAAATCGACGGCTACAGGTTCGCTGACGGTCGGCTTCCGGGCCGTTTTGTAGACGTCGTACTGGTCTTCGTCGCCATAGGCAGCGCCCAGCGTGATGAAGCTGATCTGGGTCGGGGCCCCAGTCGGCGGGGAAGTTTTCTCCAGACACTCGGAGTACGGCGGGGGAGGGACCTGATGCTCTGCTTTCCGGGGGAAAAAAACATTACCATGCTATTATTGTGGGTTTTTTTTTAACATAAATTAGTTATCAAAGTCTGCTCATAAGTTATATTTAGTACATATGTACATTCAAAGGTAAATGCATTGTTTTTATTTTTAAATTCCGAAGATGTCGAACTTGTATTGACCATTGAAATGAAACTTTAAAAAAGATGCAATCGAAGCGAATTTATTTTCAATGAAAGGAGATGCTCCTGTGTATGTTACACTTTCTATAATTAAATTCAGATTAAAATGCTTAAAAGTTATCTAATCATGTAGTGTCAACAGTATGATACATTATAGACCTATGTATTCTTAACGAAAATAACGTAAGATGTTGCTTTATTTTTTTTAACTAGTAAAGACATTGAGTCCAACAGCAAAATATTTTCTCCCCACACCTTCCCTGCACTTAGTTTGTCTGCCTGTAGTTTTAGTTTCATAATTATTTTTTTTAAATGAGCTGGAATAATATTTACAAATGTGTTTGTTTAATGTAAGTTGCAGTGTGCCCCCCCCCCCCCCCCCGTATAAATGACGCCCAGTCTTGTTCACATTGGCCCAATGGCTAGCTCGGGTTTTCTCTATGCTGTGTTTTGGCGCTTACCGACAAGTGGTGAGGTCACCTGGTCAGTGGTCCAACGGAAACCTTTGGCTGTACTGAAGCACGCAGGCAGCGGTGGTCTGTTCACATTGGGGCCGTTCTTCAATGTAATCTGGGCAGGGGCTGCGGGCGGTAGCAGGACGATCCTGGGCGGTGGCGTCTGCTTGAGAACACCATCTGCGCATGCCTCGTCTCCTGCGGTGAAGTCGTTCAGCTTACAACTTCCGCCTGCTTCTATTGCGGCGTACGATGGCGGCGAGAACGTGAATAGCTCGAACTGATCGGAGGGTAGTGTCCCCTGGTGAAACTCGTTTGTGCCTGCTAGTTCACAGGTAAACGGGTTGGCGCCTGCTACCTCAGGGAAAAATTGGCTGCTACCTGCTAGATCGAAAACACGGGGATTGGTAGCTGCTACCCCTGAAGGAAACGGGTTGCTGGATGCTACGTCAGAAGCAAACTGGTTGGTAACTACAACCCTAGGAGTTGCCTCGTTGATCCCTGTAAGGTCAGAACCAACAAACTCGACGCCAATGCTAGCGACGTCTAGTGGCTGGCGGAATGGGTTGGACTCTTTCTGCTGGGGCGAGCTTTGATCTTGAAGCTTGACCGGTGAATTATGTTGACCGGTTTGGTCCGAGAAACCAAGCGGTTGATAATCAACTCCCGCGCTAAAATCTGTAGCAAACGGCGACGGGAAAAGTGACCTTTTGACCTCCTTGCTGGAACCAGAAAAAGACGGGCTGTTTACATTGCTAGCATGAAACGCGTCCGGCCGAGGACTTAGCACGGGAGATCGAAGTTTCAACTGCAGATCAGAAAATTCGATGAAAGAACTGTCGTCTAGATTCATCTCCTCCGTGTTTGGTTTGCTCCGGCCATCGCTGGACACATCGTCTTCATCGTCGTCCCTTTGATACGGGGTCAGCGACCGGGTCCGGCTCGCATTGTAAAACGATCGTCTGGGGATGTAAGACGACGAAACAGCGCGGTCCTTTCTTTTGGCATCACGCGGAGAGGAAGAGCTGGCTGGGCTGAGCAGACATTGCGCAGACCCTTCATCGTTTGAATCTTCTTCCGGTGTCAACTTCCGGTTCTTATGAACTCCCGTTAGCAAAAGATTGCCTTCCGTTGGGCTATTTTGGGCTTCTTTCTGTGTTTTTTAAATCGCAATCATTACAATAGTTGTTTTGTATTTATTTTTAAAAAAAACAACAAGAAAGTATAATAATTAGAAAACCTCAAACTATGATATAACTATTTATTATCTTATCTAAAACAATTTTAAAATATCAGGTTTAATTAACATTTTAGCCATAAATCCCTGAAAATTTTTAATAGTAGAAATTACCTATATTTAATGACCCCCTCAAGATTCAGAGATTCTATCAAACCCAAAACCTTAATATTCTAGTGACCCCAAAAACGGTTAGATAATAACCAACATAAAGTCCTAACACTAAAATGACCCAGGAAACTCCCAATATTTAATGACTCCCCTAGACACCATGATATATTGTGGCTGGAGTCAGGTGTATCTACCCACCTGTTTACGGTCCATAACTTTGGTTCAGACGATGACCAAGACGCTACTCATCCCAGTTTCCTGCAAATCAGAGAGAGGTCAGTATACTCAGACTTTCCTTACACATATACACGAACTTTGTCATAAGCTGAATATGTTGCCTGGAGGGAGACCCTTGTGTGTGCGCATGTGTGTGTGTCTCTGGGTAGGGAAGGGGAGGTCTTTATTAATCAAAGTTGTATAGAGAGCGGGAAGATACAGTTTTATTCCATCTTTGTATAGAGTCTTCACAACTTCTCTCTGTCCGTTTCAAAGTCTCATTGACACAGGCCGGATAACGTGTACACCCTTCTATACCACGCTTACTCCACATAGCTATAATTCCAACACTCAAACATTGATAGTCTTGACATATAAAGGAATTCTTTTAGGCATCTCTTCGAGGGAGAGAAAATACATAGAAAATATATCCTTTAATCTGTTTAATCCTTAATCTATCCCCCTCCCCCCCCCCCCCCGAAAGTTTATAATGCCTAAAAGAAACACCTGTAATAGTTTGGTTAGTTGGATGCAAAATAATCTTTAACTTTTATTTCCTCACCCTTCCCCCGCCCGGCCAGGGTTTCTTTCAGACATTTTACAGGACTCAGGTACCCATTAGAGCGGAGCAAATGCACGGACGTTCTACAGACTTGAATCGAAATCGATTCCAAGATCGTGCGACTGGAAATTCTTATTCCTAGTATAGCTGTTAGTTCAAAGCATTGGATTTTAATACTTAGGCCAAATATTTCTCTCTAATTCTGTTTTATATAGATTTAGTCAATTTAGATCTAGAATCTAGATCTAGATCAAGATCTAAACTAAAAATTGTAGGCCTAGCCTACATTAAAGGTTCCATTTTTTTCCCAGAAAATGTTTGTTTATATTACCGTTAAATATACAACTGGGCTAAATAATTAGTTTTTAAACTTAAAACAATATGTGGCATTGAGGGGTGAGTTAGGTTTTGTGTACATCATTGTATATTAAATCATTTGTATGAGTACTTATTAATATACTTTCCATTGCAGAAACGGAACCGGAAGTGTGATGTCACAAAATGTGTTGTGTGTAATTAAAAAGTGTCGATTTGATGACAAAATAAATAATTTATTTCTTACAATATCTAGATATAGATCTAGATATAGATCTAGATCTAGAACAAAAATGATGGATAGGCAATACCTAAATCAAGCTGCACACATATTGATTTGCTTTGGTCTCTTCTTTGAATTTAGCAATGCTAACTTCAGGCTTTATTTCAAATTTTTTTCTCCAGAATGGCGGGGGGGGGGGGGGGGGGGGCACTGGTTAAAGTATAATATATTTTGTACAGAAATTATTTTTCTTGTTTTCCGAAGGAGCGAGAAAGGATGTGTTCCGGAAGCCCCAGAAAGATGACTGAAAAAAACTCTGGGTAACTTGAAGACCTCCACTAGAAGCGCCATTGGTTCTTGAAGAATAAAAGCAGCAGGATAAACATCGAATCAACTACTTTACCTGCACTGTTGGGTTATGGTTGAAGGTCAGGATAAAAGTCTACGGACAAGGTTAGAGTCGCACATCTTGCAGAAGAATAAATAAGCTCCCATCTGTAGCATAAATAAGCTGTCATTTTTAGCTGTATTTGTTTTGTTTTTTTCGGTGTGTTTGTATGATGCATTGAATATGACAGGTGTCTATTTCTGTGTTTAGCCTACATAGCCAACATCAGCCAAAGTTAGAGATCTGACATAGTGCAGAGTCTTGGGCCCCAAGCACAAGTGAATCACGGAAATGACATCAGTTCTATTTTTAGATTAGCAACGTTACTCATAGATTAAAAATAAAACACGATTCACCTTAGGTAATGTTCTCAACAGACACACCTTTACCTGTGGAAAATACCGCTCCACATGTGAACATGAATGTACAGCCATGTGTTGCGTTGCGTTTGTTCACTGCTTTTTATCAAATGTTTTGACTATAGCTGAATAGGTTTTACGTGTGTGTTAGAAATACTCACGTAAATTAAAATTTTAAAACACGGGAAGGGGGGGGGGGGAGAGAGAGAGAGAGAAGAGGAAATTAATATAACGGTTTGGATGTTATCCTTATTTCGAATAATATAAATCAACTCTTCACTAGTGATCTCACAGATGAAATAAATTAGGCTCATTCAGTTTACCCAAGTGTTGATTTCACAAGCCACAATCTTTGCTTTCTGTAGTGGGAGGCAGGGGCGGATTAAGGTGTGTGTATGTGTGTGTGTGTGTGTGAAAAGAAACGAAAAACAATAAGTAAACAAATGCTGCTAGATCTAGCGAAAATACGCTGCTAGTATTCCAAGATAGGACAAAAATAAGTCAACAGATGGGGATTCAGCAAAAAAATGTATACACGTTAGCCTTTGTATTAGATGGCTCTCTCAGTATTATCTAAGCCACTGAAGCTTGGATATACGCATAAACATGCGAAAAATAAACAAATCTAAATTAATCAGGATTTGAAAACATGCAAATATTTGGCATAAGCAATTAAAAGAGACGAAAACCAACTTTTAGCAAAGCTCTTCTTCAGAATATAAAAGAAAATAATGAATATCTCAAACCACCCTACGTGGAACAATTATGAATATTTACATGATGTTTAATTATTTAAATACTAGAATCTAGATTCTAGCGCCATTTCGCGTTGACTAACAAAAGCTTAATTAGTCTAGCAATTCTTTTGTCTAGGCCTAACATGTTTAGGTATGAAGAGTGTGTTTAAAATTGTTTTTAATGAAAATATTAATTTTAGACTTAAATCAATAAATGGCAAAACGAACAGAAGAACAATATTCAATTACAACTTCTATTAGTTGAGAAGTTTAAATCCAGGATAAATGTGTTATAACTCTGATGTTACAACTACAGTACTTTTAAAATCGTGCTTGATTATAACTTATCTTTTAAAAATCGTAACTACGAAAATTTGATTCAGATAGCAAAATTTTAAAATAGGTGTACTGTTGTAAACATGTTAGAGTTATAGGGCCCCAAGTGCTGCTTTTCTAGATCCAATGGAAGACTCACTATAATAATAGATAGGGCCTATATCACTTTATATTATTTTAATATATGTGATCAGCCTACTAGACCAATAGGCCTATACATTTGCAGATCTGATAAAGTAAGCCTATCCTGATGTAATATAGGCCTACTTACTGGTCGTATTTTATAGACTTAGCAAGATCAATCAGAAACACATTATTATTTTAGGAAGAGCTCACGTTAAATAAACATTATTTGACATGAAGCGACGACAGCTAAAATTTAAACTGTAGAGCGTGGTCGTTGATGTCCGATTAACGGACAGAAGTATCTCATTCTTTCGTATTTGTGAATTTAGAAGAAAAAAGCTAATAAGAAAATCCATAGGAAAACTATTTTTACTGTTGTTGATAAGAAATTTTTTAGAGCCCCCGAATTTGGGTGTCTCCTGTTCAACTCCATAATCCGCCACTGCTAATGAGCGATGGCCTTACATTCAGAGTTTCTTCCAGGCATCTCTTCGGCCGCCCCCCCCCCCCCTCCCGAAGAAAGTCTACCGCCCCCCGTACGAAATAAAATTTATATAGAAAATATATACTTTTAGCAGTGTCCGCCCCCCCCCCCCCGAAGAAAGTCTACCGCCCCCCCCCCCCCACCGAAAATTTCAAATGCCCCCCCCCCCTCCCCCAGAGAAAAAAGTCTGGAAGAAACACTGCTTACATTTCTGTACTCTTTAGATAAACCTTGCCATATCCTTTGTAGCTCCCATCTGCCGTCTAGTTTCTGTTTTAATTCTTATTTATTCGGCAAACAACCTACCTTTCACTTCAAATAACTAACATTCGAAACAGGTTACTTCCTGCCTTTTACAAACGTTTGCATTAAAGCGCCATTTGTAAGTCATTAGACGGATCACTCATACAATCACATGTTGAAGTCAAACATATTTTTGTAATCTGTTTTATTAAGATTTAGTGTTTTATTTCCTGAAATTAGTTGAATAACCAAATTGTGTGCCAGAAAAAAATAAACCGGGAGTGATCTCCCCTAAACTTTCTCGAATATTCATATATAAAATAACAGGGGATGGGAACTCGGGCTTTAGACATGATGTTTAATCCATTTTAAATACTTAAAGTTTTAAAAATAGAATAAAATCTCGTAGACAAATTAATTGCACACCAAGTGAACGCCAAATAAAAAAGCGCATAATAGTGCGCAATATTATTAGTACTTTTAAAATTTACATTAGTTTTTTGAGAAATCGGAAGTAGCGTAAATTACTACTTCCGGTCAACGGAAATTACTCAAAATTTAACAGAAGGTAGAGAATTAGATCTTTTACTTACATGTGAAATTTCGTTTATCTATCTGAAATAGTACTCAAGTTATAGGCTTTTGAAAAATTCAAAGTAGGAAAAGTACCACTTCCGGTTATCGGAAATCGCTCAAAAGTTGATACGGATCTACGATTTTGATAAAATACTTATATATGAAATGTCATCAACCTAGCAGTAACGGTACTCAAGTTATCGTGTTTACACACGGACAGACAGACAGACACACAGACAGACAGACACACAGACATACGGACAAGATTGCAAAATTATGTTTTTCCGTATCAGTGAGGTGTAAAACGTCGAGATTTGTAAAAAATCTCGTTTTTTTTTTTTTGTGCACGATTACAAGACTTTCACTATACTTCGTATATACGAGAAAGTAAAAATGTAAACTATGCTAGGGAGTATCGCTTTAGGCAAACATTTTGTGAGCAGAAAGCGACAACAGCTGATGACGGGCGTTTTGAAGTGTTTTTTTTTTCATGGGAAACAACTCATTTTTGTCTCTTTGTTTGGTAAATAAAATGGCTTGTCATTTTAACACAATTTAAAGAATGGTCAGGAATGTTTCCACTGATTGCTAGAGTTAGCCTATAAATCTGATTGTCTGAATGCTTGAGAGTGAGAACTAATTCACAATGTAAACCCTATACAGTCTTATTTTATATATGTTTGTTACCACTGCGTGACGCGAGCTGATGCGATATGACGAAAAAACTTTTAATTGCTGGCTGTTTTTAAAAGATGGGTAAATCACTTATCACATTTCGGCTGCTGTCTGTGTTTTTTTTAACGCTAAAAACCAATCATTTTATTGTCATAAGCGATCGCTGGTCCAGACTAAGTTATTTTTTGGGGAGCGTCGGCTTTATATAAACAATGTCTGGGTAGGAGGTGATGACAGGCGGTATTTATACGTACGTGTGTGCAAGTGTTAGAAATTTTAAAAGAAAATGAAGCTTGTGATGCAAACATTAAAATTTTAGTTTTTATAGTAAAAGCCAACAATTAGGTGGTAAATTTGTGGGCCCCTAAAAATCGGGGGCCCCTGGCTGCAGCCCTTTCAGCACCGCCCCCCCCCCCTAAATCCGCCACTGGTGGGAGGAGTAGGTAGTTTAAACATCACAAAATACACGTCGCGATCAGTTTCTCACCGTCAAGGGGGAGGGGGTCCCACTTGAAACTTTCGAGGTGGGAGGATCTTTTTTTATAAATATAATTTTCCCTTTCTCCCCCTCCCCCCCCCCAACTGCCGAAGGATTGCTAGAAAGAAACTCTGGTCACACTTGCAGAACCATGCAGCCGATGTCCAGCTGTTGTTCGCATCTTCTAGCACACACCCTGATGTCTGTTTCATCAAGTTAGCCGGTTGTTAATTCTTTCTAACTTTTCTGGTTAAATTCTTGACATTTGTTCTGCTTTAGTTTTACATAGCTCTGATATAATCAGAGGCGTAGCGAGGGGGGGGCGGACCGCACCGGGTGACACCATTTAGGGGGTGACACCAAGGCAAAAAATAGCAAAATATATAGAGAAAAACTTGAGGGGGGGGGTGTGCAAATCGAAAACTTGAGGGGGGTGCAAATCGAAAATTTGAAAGTTTGTCCCCGGGAAGGGTCGCTACGCCTCTAAGGGGTTACACCATTAAGTGCCGCACCGGGT